AATCCATCATTAAGGCATTTTAACTTTAAACTGTCACTTCTGGCCAAAATACCAGAGAGTATTCTGACGGCCCCCATTTACTGCAGAAGATCCATTGGTGAGCAAATGATGTAATGCTAAATTTCTCCAAATCAGTTCAGATGAAGAAGCAAACTCATCTTGGATGGCCTGAGGGTGAGTACATTTTCTCAAAACTTTCATTTTTGGGTCAACTTTTCCTTTAAAGGGTTCAAAAAATATAGTTTGGAATTATTCTGATGTTTCATCAGCATTAGAATGAGGGTGTATACACACACACACACACACACACACACGTCTGGTTCACTATCCTTGTGGGGACTCCCCATAGGCGTGTATGATTTATAAGCTTCTGTACCCATGGGGACCTCGATTTAGGTCCCCACGGTGACACAAGTCCCCATGAGTTGGTGTGTATTCAGGTTTAAGTCCCCACCAGTGTAGAAAAACCTGTACACACACACACACACAGACAGAGTATGGATCAATGAGGCTGTTTTTTGGCTTAACTTTTTTTCTTTTTTGATAAGTTAGACTTCTTTGTCATATGATGGCTAATCATCCCCTCTATACAGGTGGTCTGAACTCTCACTTGTTATCTCTTCCAGCAACAGACGTTTCCATTCCCAGTCTGTACACACACACACACACACACACACACAGACAGAGTATGGATCAATGAGGCTGTTTTTTGGCTTAACTTATTTTCTTTTTTGATAAGTTAGACTTCTTTGTCATATGATGGCTAATCATCCCCTCTATACAGGTGGTCTGAACTCTCACTTGTTATCTCTTCCAGCAACAGACGTTTCCATTCCCAGTCTTGCGCCAGATGCCTGTTGTGTATCCAGCCAAAGCGCCAAACCCAAAATGCGTAGACAGAGACAAAACCCTAATTCAGAAATTCCTACTCCACACGCACAGACCATCAGGTTTAGTGAATCATTCTGTCTTCTGCAGCATTTTTGTTTTGAATATGGCTTTACTGTCATTACAAAAACAACAAGTACAGTTATCAAAGCTGCTACAATCCGGTTTACAGCAAACCGTGAGTCAGTGGGAGAAATGTGTTTAAGGATGATTCTTTTAGTTTTCTTTACAGGGAAGTAGAAAAAACAGTTGGTGTAATAAATCAGATTTGTGGCAATCCCAGACACCCCATTCATACTTTTCAAAACTGTAGAGAAACAATATTCCACTTAAATGTTTGTGTGAAAGTGATCAGTGACATCACTTTGAGCTGAGCAGAGGCAGTATGAGTTGATATCATCGAAGGAAGAAATCGTGAGGTTTACACCCGGCTCAAAACAAATAAACAGAACTGTGTCCTTAGCAACAGGCCTTGCTTAAGCAATTTTAAAAATGTGCCGGTTCTGAGCTGAAGAGAATTGATTATCTAGTTAACTTTTACCCTTAAAAGTCCAACACATCCGGTCAAGACACTCCCACTCAACCGTCCACTGTGTCTGCTTTACTTCAGATGTTTAAACATCTCAGATATTTAAAACATTTAGATAGAGACATTTTTTATGAATCAAACCAGAAATGCCCATATTGAGCTGAGAATAGAGACTGAAATGTAACTGAAAAGTAACTGAAATGCAGAAAAAGAGCTTCTGGTCACTATTTTACTGACATTGTAACTGATTTCAGTTTATTAAGAGGATGTATATAAACAGATATTAGAAGTGTACACAGGTGTAGAGGTCTTTGACCACTTCATTTTGTTTTGCGTCACTCTGTATATTTGGCTTATAAACAGTGTTTCTTGTGGTGGTGGTACTACTGTAAATTTCCTGTTTCCTGTTCCTGTTTTGTTCAGGTGTCATAGTTCATTTCCAAGGCTCATATTACAACAACTTTTTTTATGAAATCAACACCAAACAGCTACTCTAATAAACAGTTTCATTAAATTATATTTTGAGGCTCTTAAACTCTTAACTCTCAAATGACCCCGCATCCTTAAATACAGAGGTGCTTCTATTTAGCTTTTTTTCTTATTTAAAAAATGTTTGAATAAATAATGTGAATATTTTTCAAAATCCTTTTTATTTCAAGGTTTAAATTAGATTTCGAATCCCTGATTGTCAGTTTGAACCTCACTGAAGTTTATGAATGATTTAAAATATGAACTTTTATGACCTTCAGCAAACAACATTGACTTAACTGGTAATCATATAGCAATGTTGCCAATAGCTATTTTTTTTAAAGTATTGTGTAATGCTGTGTGTTGAGAAAAGTGTCTAGTCTGTTGTCATCATCTGACCTCATACAGTGGGTGAAACTCAACTCAAGCATATATATAACTATATATAAACATACATATATATATTTACACACACACACACACACACACACACACATATATATTAACCATATCCAGTTTAAAAAAAACATTCATGTAAAATTAAAAGAGTCAGAGTGGTTACTAACTCATACGGAAGTAAGCATTCCTGATGGGTGAAGATTACTTCAAAAATCCAGCACAATCCAGCACTAAGGTCTGTTTAGACGCTCATTTCCGCCGCAGATTATGATAAAACCATATGAGGTCAGCCTGAGAAACACTCACACGTGTTGTCGTTTCAAGTTTCCTCTGGTGGGTCTGTCGTAAGAGCGGAGATTCACACCTCCTCAAAACTTTCACTTCTTACACAACAGGCTGTCTGACTCCTTTAGCTGTGCTGTGCCAGGCGCTGCCGCACTGCTGGTAACATAGTTACTGCATTACTGCATTACTATGGTGGTTATATGTTTTAAAGTATAAAGCAGATTTGTATAGTTCACATAGTTTGTTTTATTAGGACATTATAGAATTTCATAACAAATATGGTTATAAATTCTAAAATACAAAATGCTTCAAATGTTTGCTGGATTGTTGTCACATTTGTGACCCTGGACCACAAAACCAGTCTTAAGTCACGTGGGTATATTTGTAGCAATAGCCAAAAAAACATTATTAGGGTCAAAATTATCGATTTTTCTTTTATGCCAAAAATCATTAGGATATTAAGTAAAGATCATGTTCCATGAAGATATTTTGTAAATTTCCTATCGTAAATATATCAAAACTTAATTTTTGATTAGTAATATGCATTGCTAAGAACTTCATTTTGACAACTTTAAAGGCGATTTTCTCAATATTTTTATTTTTTTGCACCCTCAGAAAAAATAAAATTGACCCTTATGACTGGTTTTGTGGTCCAGGGTCACATTTTTTTAACTGTAAATTTCTTGCAACCACAGCTGCCAGATTTTTAAATTTGACAGAATAAGTGAAAATCAACATGCTCAGTTGTTCATATGCACACTATTATACCAAAGTTTGGACACATACTGAATTTATGCTTCTCATGGACCTGAAAAACTTTTGATTTACTTACATTTAAATGCTTGAATTTTTTTAATTTAATTAAATTAATTTTTTTAAAGAAAAATAAATGGTATGATTTCTTTACCAAAAAAAAAAAGGTTAAAATTGTTTTATTAAATTTTATTAAAAATGGAGCACATTTTGACCACATAGTGAAGGAAAAGCAGTCAACAAGTGTTCATCAGTTTAAAAATGATCCTAGTATGCACCTCATGAAGTTGAGGTTAAAATAGAATAGCGTGCGCAAAGCTGTAATCTATGTAGGTCATAAAAGAGGCTGCTGAGGTATTTGTTTAGAGTATATTATCAAGGGATCTGAAGAAAAAGTTAAACAATGTGTAATGCTACACGGTACCCAACAAAGTGTGTCAAATAAGGGTGTGTTAACGACTCAGAAATACACCAAAGAAATGACTGTGCAAACAGCTGGTTGGCAGATTGCCCTGCTCAGATAAAGCATAAGTCTGCTGATATAACATCATACTGTAGTTGCTGGGAGATCTCTCTGCTGCCCACTCACACAGCAGCTTATGAAACCTTCAAGACATTTCAGTGGATTTTACCACCATCTGGTGATGCATGAAAAACATATTTTTTTGGCTAACTAGTGTTTCCTTTTTCTAGACTAATTTACTCCTCTTTTTGTCCCACTGCAGAGGGTGAGAGAATGTAAAGTAAGCTGAGATGAGATAAGAAGGACATGGAACAACATGTTAGAATCACTTACACAAGTCATGTGCAGACAGGAGGGGATATCAGTCTGTACACCAAGTCTCTCTTACCCAAGAGTACCTAACCCAGGTGTCATAACACTTCACATTCATGTCATAACGAATAAATGCAACACTAGCTATTAGAGATGTAATCGCCAGCAAACTTTATGAAGATGAAAAACACATTATGAAATTACGGTTCCCACACCATTTTCCGTTATTCATTATAGCTGGATAATAATAAAATTAAAACAAAATAATACAATCAAATTTCTTTAATAGAGACTGTCCTCTCAAAAAAAAACAAACAAACAAAAAAAAACATTATTTTCTTCTTCTTCTTTTTTAAATAGACATTTTCGTGAGTTTTCCAGGTCTTAAAAATCTGGTTAATTCATAAGCATGTACTGTAAAATATTAAGTAGGCCTATTTGTTAAATAGTTCAAAACAGTTCAGTTCAGTTTACATGCATTCAATAATTAAACAAACCTAACCTAAAAAGGAACACAAATCACGCTAATGGCGACTTAAAAAATAAAAATAAAACATCAAAAACACTAAATAAATGTTTTATCCTTTCAACATAAAAGACAACTAAATGTACAGATCCTCATAATTTCACATGTTTTGACCAAGCACATAACATTTAATTATCAAGCACAAGGGATTATGGGTATTCCCACCAGGCCAGCCACAATGCTTCTCCAGTAGATATGCTCAGTATTAGGTGCAACAATTATAAGCTGAAAGCAAACTCAAACTGTTTACTTTACAATACAATATTGCAGTGTGCGTGTGTGTGTGACAAACTAGAAGTTGGATTTCTTGCACTGTAAGTGCCAGGCTGTGTTTTGTCTATTTATCTCTCTCTGTGACGTGCTGCTTTAATTCCTCTACTGTAATCCTATTACATCACACCGTATTATTTCTGAAATGTAACTAACCATGATGTCAATGGCATTATTATCTGAGACAGTACACAGCAAAGACAGGTAGTCACAGCAAACACTCAGGTAAGAATGACATTCTTCTGACTATTCTGTTGTTTACTCTACCTACATGCAACAGATTGAAAATATTGAAATGGTTAATGATCACTTGAGCATGTTTCTCTGAGATAGTTCTTTCAGTTATTATACTGTATATGCAGGATGCTCAAACAATAGAAAAAATAAATAACCTGGTGAGCAATATATTTCACGTAATAATGTTTCATTATGCAGTTGTTGGTGTTTAGGTGTATAATACTGCAACAACATATCTAAATCCTGCATAGGCCTTAGATAGACCTGCTGTGCATGAATACTGCAACTAGCACTTTTGCTAATGGAACTTGTTGATGTGAGTGGAAATCTGAGGTAAGATAAAGGGATGGCAAAGCGATCTGTAGGAGCTGGATTGAACAAGATTACTTCTGACGTATTTCTGAGTATGTCTTGTTCGTAGAATCCAATGTAGTAGCTGATCAGCACAATTCTTCGCTAAGCTAACATGCACAACGGTAGTGTTCTGTGAAAACCGCATAAATGCAGGTGGTTTGTTAAGCTTGAGATGCTCAACATTTCCTTATTCAGGTGTGTATGTGTAGCATTAGTATAATATTTTGTACATTAGTACAGCACTTTTACATGCAAGAGAACATGAGCACTGTGGGCAAACCCATTACTCACAACAATATAATCTGATTGTAATTCTAATCCATCACCTATAAGAAAGTAATCTGCTAATTCCACCTCAACCTGGATAATTGTAACATACTCTGACAATGTCAAGAGCTCATGCAGCAGAAATAAAATCTACTTTGGTTACATTAGAATAACTGCACTAGTGTAACTGATCGTAACATAAAACTTCCCATTTGTTTGTTCATCTCATATAGTCTGGAAATATTAAATATAAAATATTAACCCCCTCAGGTCATTTCTTAAGAGGAAGTTGCTCAAGATGGGCATATTCAGATGGAGCAACAACTTACTATCATTCTTCCATCCTTATACTGAAACCACAAGCACAAATAAATTAATAAAGACAAAAAAAGGGCTCATAGGAACTGTAATTTCGATCATCAGCTCTCCTGAGGATTCATCATGTCAAGTTCACCTGAGATTGAGGAACTACCAGCAACACAAACAGGTGAGAAAAGATTTAATTACTGATATCGAAGCAAAGAAAGACCTACGTTATAGAGTATCACTCTGATTGCACAACACATCCTGCTAACATCTATTTGTTATTTACACTAATGATGAGGTAATACTTGAGATTTCCCTCATTATGCTGTGATACACTCAAGATTATCTGTAATTAAAGGCTGCATTCTGGAAACTGCATTCTTTTAAATACAGAGTTCTGGCATGAAACTCTAGATGACACAGTCCGATAGGTCTAACTCAATCTGACCTAATGACATCATTATCACATGGCACAGCTGATTGGTTCTCTACTGTATCGGTAGCCAATGAGCTCCCTGCTCAACATTCAAATATATGACTAGTACTGCCGTAGCAGTTGCAGCTTGCTTCAGAAACCCTCCACCTTCCCCAGCTCCACCTGTATAGATCTGATATGAGGTGATCGTGTATGCTATATGGGGGTTATTTCATGTATGTTATATTTGCAGCAGCAATATTTCTTACATGCTCACAGCAGCATGTTGTGGATGTATTGGCAGTAGCAAGTCTCGGTACTTGCTCTGCCACAGCAGCATAGCAGATCTATTCCGCCAAGACCAAATACATTAACATTGTCATGTACATTACCATGCCAATCCCTCCGAGAGTTGTCATGACAGAACAAGATTTATTCAACAACGCATTGACTGAAATGACAAAATCAGATCTTAAATGACAAAAAAAAAACACATTGCATCTCAGGGCCCAAAGGTGTGATCCATGACTGGAGAAAGTTCAAACTTGAGAGTGAGGACCATGAAAGCGTCCCTTCCAACAAGAGAGAGCTCCTCAGACAGATGTCCAACCCCAAATCCAGTAATGACGACACCCGGGAAAAAGTCAGCCGCAAGGTAACAGTGAAAAATTCCCAACTGACATCTACACAAATATAACAAGCACAAGAAAATTAGTCGTTTTAATTCCAAATACATCCCATCATTATAGCTTACCAGTCAAATGCATACAGCTACTCATTCTGTATAATTCATTTTTTCCACATTTTAAATGATAGTAAAGTCATCAAAACTCTGAAATAACAAAATAATGCAGTGATTAAAACAATTTAAGCAAATCTTCATGAGGTAACCATAGTGCCTAATAAATTGTGTTGACTACATTTCTAAAGATTTTTAAATAAATGTTTTTGAAAGACATCTCTTATGCTCACCAAGGCTGCGTTTTTTTAATCAACGATACATTTCTGTGATGCAAAGCTGAATTTTCAGTAGTCATTACTCCAGGTGTCACATGACCCTTCAGAAATTATTCTCATATGCTGATTTGCTGCTCAAGAAACATTTATTAATATTATCAATGTTGAAAACACCCGTGCTGCTTAATATTTTTTCTGGAAACCACAATATTTATTTATTCATTGTGGAAACCACAAAACATTTTTTTTAAGATTATTTGATGAACAGGAAGTTAAAAACAACATTTATGTGAAATAGAAATCAGTTGAAACACTTTTGATGAATTTAATGCATCCTTGCTAAGTAAAAGTATTAATTTCTTTGTTTAAAAAAAATCTTAGTGACCCCAAACTTTTGAACGGCCTTCACTATTCGGTCTACTCCAGGGTTCCTCAAATCTTGCCCTGTAGGGCCAGTGCACTGCAGAGTTTAGCTACAACCCTGATCAAACTCACCTACCTGTGATTTTCTAATGATCCTGAAGACATTGATTAGCATGCTCAGGTGTGCTTGATTAGGGTTAGAGCTAAACTCTGCAGGAAAGTGGATCTCGTGGACCAGATTTGAGGATCCCTGGTCTACTTCATTAATAAAAATATATATATTTTTAAAAATGTACATTTTGTAAAGAAATTCATACATAAACACAATTTATCATTTACAATTAACTACAAAACTAATTTCAAGTGTTTAACACTAAACTGAAAGATTTTTAAGATAATCAGAATCATTTCAGAATCGATTCATATGAGTTTGTCCAGTATGTTGACTGGCAGTTTAAGAGTTGCTTTGCATATATATTAAAATTGCTGTGTTTCTTTGTCTGACCACATGCAGATGAGCGTTCAGGAGTATGAAATGATCCAAGAAGAGGATGAAAGGTGTCTGCGTAAGTATCGCAGGCAGTGCATGCAGGAGATGCACGAGCGCCTGAGTTTTGGGCCTAAATTCGATGCTGTGTTTGAGTTGGATAGTGGGGAGGCCTTCTTGGATGTCATCGAGAAAGAGCACCGCATAACCCTAGTGGTTGTACACATCTATGATGATGGGATCAGAGGATGTGACGCTCTCAACAACTGCTTGACTTGCCTGGCAGCAGAGTATTCCACCGTCAAATTCTGCCGAATCCGAGCTTCTGCCACAGGGGCGGGTGAGCGTTTTTCAGATGACGTTCTGCCCGCCCTGCTGGTGTACAAGGCTGGAGAGCTGCTGGGCAACTTCATGTCTATTACAAAGCACCTCAATGAGGAGTTCTTCGCCATGGATGTGGAGAACTTCCTAAATGAGTATGGTCTGCTGCCAGAGAAAGAGTTTGCAGCCAGTCCTGATGAGGAAGAGAATGCTGACGTAGAATAATCAAGGAAATTCAAAGGGTGGAAATGAATTACATTAGTCAACCTGTCAGACTTGTTTCAGAGATAGATCGAGTAATGACGCTGCACTGTAAAAAGTAATCACTGAATCTACTTAAGAAAAGCGAGGTTACAGTGTGTGACTACTGGGCCATGACTCCCAACAAACACGCACACCTCAAGGCATCTACTAGCACGTGATTTACAGCAGTTAAATACTTCATAGTGTTATCAAAGGCACACAGTCATGCTCATTTCATTTGCCAGGGTTCCCACAATTTTTGACTAATGAGTTTCCATGAATTTCCTATGCCCTTTCCAGTTTGTGATTTGTGAGTTTCTAGTTTGTGATTACCGGATAAGGATTTTTAAAAACCATTCAAATTAAGATCAACTCACTCATGAATCATTCTGACTGATTTATGAAGCAGTTCAGCTGATTTGCAGTGAAAGGGAAAAGACTCACAAGGATGATTTTTCAGATCCATTGAGAAGTTCTCCACTGCATCACGTCGCAGTGTTTTGGTCGACTCAAGTTTAAGTGCTGACTTCTTGTCCTTTCCCAATCCCGTTCCCCTGTCTTGTTGCTGCCTCATAATCCAGTAGAGCGTTTCACAATCATTATATTTATATTAATAACTTCATATATTTACTGGAATTTGGTAATTGCAGCATATGACAAAAACATTAATGTGTTTTGCTACTGCTATTTTAATTTCTTCAATGTGTTGGTAGTCCCTGCGTATGCGCAATGTGAACGTGTACAGGTGATTGGAGACGACATAAAAATATATATAAGGCAAAAATGCCCCCAAAATATTTATATATATATATATATATTTAAAAAGACAAGGGAAAAAAATATTCACTCACAAATTGAACATTATTATGGTTTGCGGAGAAGCTGATGGAATATTTTATTAAGAAGACAATAAATAATAATGTACATGTTAACAGGTTTGGGGTTTGTAATTTTTAAAAAAAGATAATACCTTCATTCATCAAGGATGCATTGAACTGATCAAAATTGATTATAAAGACATTTATAATTTTACAAAAGTTTTTTTTATTTCAAATTAATTCTATTCAAAGAATCCTGTAAAAATGCAGGGTTTGCACAAAAATGTTAAGCAGCACAACTGTTTTCAATACTGACAAGAAGAAGTGTTTTGTGAGCATCAAAACAGCATATGAATGATTTCTGAAGGATCATGTGACACTGTAGTAATGGCTGCTGAAACTTCAGCATTGCCATCACAGAAATAAATTACACTTTAAAATACATTAAAACAGAATTTTTTTTTAATTCACTCAGTGTGACTGCTTTACTGTATTTTTGATCAAATAAATGCAGCCTTAGAGAGCAAAAGAAACTTTTGTTCAAAACATACAGACCTCAAACTTACAGTAGTGTACATTACAGAAATTTATTTTTTTTGTATTAATTTCTCTGACATGTCTCTGAAATATTCTGAAATGTCCTGGTTTTCCATGATTATGGGAACTCTGATTTACAGAGAATGAGAGCAGCCATCTTATTTGAGCATGCTTAGGCTTGCCACATGGAGCAATTTGACATGAAAGTCAAACTGTGACACTGTACTTGTCATCCATTATGTATCGAGCTGCTATCTGCTTAATGAATAAATGATGAGAAAAAAAAGTGTGATTTCATATGTTGTAATGCTGCACTACATGACACCAGAGTGACTTACTTCAATAAAACACAGAAAGGCCAAGGACACTCCTCACACCCAGATTTACGCATAGGCATTCTAGGCACGTGCCTATGCTCGCTCGTCCAGGGGGGGCCCAAACACAATGAAGAGATATATAATATTTTGTTATACTATGGGCTATCTACAACAATAAAAGAACCAAAACCTCAGAAGACATTGAGCAAATAAATATAACAAACAAAAGGGTAAAAAATGACAAACTATTTCCATGTCTTCCACCTTTTTTTTGTACGGAAATCACGCTTTCT